TACAGCTGTAGATATATAGTCTGCATTCCTTTAGATCAAAATAGTCAATATTTACCTTCTCCTAAGAAAATCAGTATACCTGGATTGTTATGCCCCAAAGATTTACTAAGGCCCTTCCTATTTTTCACAAGTCCTCGACCATAACCTCAAGGGCCTTAAATTTCCCTGTTATTTTATTCATATTTGATACGTGGATGACCTTTTGTAATGTTCTAAAGATGAGGTAAGCTCTAAGACTGATTCTAGCTATCTACTGTTTTCTTTCAGAAAGAATATAAGGTTTCCAGAGAGAAGTTCCAGTTATGTCAAAATTCATTATACAGAACATAATTTACCCCAGCGAGGTAAATCTTTTACTTCTGACAAACAATAGCCCATTCAAAACTTTCCCAATTACTCCTAAGAAGACACTTATAGCTAATGCAGATAGTAGATTTCCAACTTTTCTGATATCATTACACTAATAACTTAGCCAAACTTCTTCCTTGGGAATCTAAACATGAAGAGGCCTTTTGTAAATTGAATCAGCCCTTCAATAATCTGCCACTCTGGGCTTACCAAATTAACATATACCTTTCTACCTATTTGTACATGTGAGATATAGATAAACCTTTGTGTTATGACTGTACTTCATGGTGAAGGAAACCAGAATGTGTCACCCTGAAATATGCCTCTTTGCCATAAAAATTATTTTTGAGCTACAGGCAATTAAGAAGCAGCAAACAGAGGAAGAGCTCTCTCTCTATCCTCCTGCATTTCTGACTCAAGACAGGACACATTAATAAATTCTCCTTTACTGGAGATGGCTCTTATCAGCCCAGAGATGGCACCACAGGAATCTACAAACAAACCTTACTCCATTAGCTTCTTCCCATGTATTTACCTTCCCACAGTTTCCCACCTTTGGAAGCCTAAAATTGCTTTCTTTTGTCCTGTCATTTCTCTACAAATTATTGTTCATTGTCAAGACAGAGTTTGAAACCACTGCCTTGAGTTACCTTTCATTGAGGTTTTCCCTGCATGATGTGTGCTGCATGTGTTAATACACTTGCTTGTTTTTCTCTTGCTAATCTGTCTTTAGTTACAGGGGTCTAATACTACCACGAATTTAGGAGGGTTGAGAAGAAATTGTTTCCTTCCCGATGATGTGAATCATCAGACATCAATAGACTACTACGTCTCTCCTAACCTAGTGGCAAAGCCTACTCACCTTGCCTAACAGCCACAGCAGCTAAGCTAGCAGAGGCTTCCACACACTTAGTTTTAGGGTCTCCCTTAAATATGATGATCCTTCATGCTGTACAAAATTTGTTGCTCACTGCAAATACACAACATTACTCAGCAAGTAGGCTTAGCGACAATGAATCCTGTTACTTTCTCCCTCATGTACCTCTGTTCCTTGTAGTAATACTTTGAATCCTGCCACCCTTCCTTTAGATGTTATGTTCTCAATGAGACCACTTGGCCCACTGGTTTCAGCTCTAGGAAAAAGAGATTGTTAGATAATTTAATTCAAGGGGGAGAAAAATTGGACCTTAATTTAGGAACCCAAACCCTAACCATTCCAGGGAAATTCAGAACTGCTTTATTTTCTCCTCACACTTTTTTAGTTCATGTTCCACAAAAGGTCTAGAAAGTAGGGAGAATCCTACTAAATGTGGAACTGACGGGATTTGCTGCAGAACACTATGGGAAGTGAGAGAGGTCAAAAATGACCTCAAGGTTTCTTGCCCAAGCCACTGGGAGGATGGAGAAGACTGCAGGAGGAGCAGGTCTGAGCACAGCATGAAGACCAGGCACTCATTCAATATTATACTGTGCACACTGCAAAAAATAGTTAAGGATAGTTAAGGATATTAGGAAACATTGTATTTAATGGGGCATAACATTCCATCCTATTATTAAATAATTCTCCACTTGTTGGACATTTTTTTTTTGGCTAGTCAAGTGAAGCAGTGGGAGTGGAGAAGGAAAGTTCAACATTTTTGATATTTAAATAGTTCTGGAATGAATATCTTTGAACATTCAACTTTTGTCTAAATATATGACTACTTCCTTGGTAAGAGAATTACTGGGTTAAAGAGCATGACATATTTTTTAAGGTCTAACAGCTTTCCAAAAAAGCTGTACCTTTTAATTTTTTCCCCAGAAGTTTATGAATGCTCATTCCAATATACTCAACAATGTTAAGTGTTATTATTTTTAAAAATGTGGGGATTTAATAAAATGTCTAGAATAAACACCTGATGATGAAGTCTCACCACTCATACCTTCTACTGAAGGTCTAGCATCTTGGGATAAATATGTACTGACCCTAAACATATCTATAGCATTTACTTTTTTTTTTTTTTACTAAATACTTGATATTCCATGTAATTTGTTCTAAGCATGAGATATTAGAAATGCCCTTATTATGAAAGTTCCAAAGATTCACCTAAAGTAAATATTAAAAGAAAACAAAATATCCTTGGTGCCTGTCTCCTTTAAGCTCTAAAATAAAATAAAATAAATAAATAAAAAGAAAAAAAAAGAAAGAAAACAAAATAGTGTTGCCATACTCCAGCTATACTGAAATGTATTTTGAGATGGAAAAAGTAGAAGTTCAGTAACAATGGGGAAAATGCACATTACCAGAGAACTAAAACAAAACTAGACATTATCCAAGCTACTCCCCTCCCACATTTTTGCCTAGAAAATGGGAGTGAGGGAAAAAGGGTTAAGAAATGGAAAATGACTTAGGATTTCCCAAGATTCTGCTGAAAGTAGGGGAAATAGAGAATTCAGAAAGCAAACTTTTATTGCACTATCAAAATAGGCAGCCTTATGGTACATTTCCTAAGAAATACACTGGCACACTGAGCCATGTGGATGGGCAGCCTGGTGCATGAAAAAGGTGGTGACAAAGACTCCAAAGCACCTGACTCCAGCTCTGCATCTCATGATCTTCTGGGCACTGGGCAAAGGTGGAATGAATTTCTCACACTGAGTTTCTTATTGCAAAATTGAAATGCCTTTTGGGCATCACTGTGTGCATAGCTCACGTGCACCGACACTCTTGACAGACAGACAACTCATGGAAGAAGAAGTATAAATGGCCAACAAGCACATGAAACATGTTCAACTTTACTAATAATTTAAAAATACCTATGCTGCCAGACTGTTGTGAAGGTTAAAGCTAACCCGAGTGGAGCATCCACACAGAACCTAACATTAGTCAATTCAGGTTAGTGATGGTTATAGGTCAGAGGTTGTCGATGCAATTCTGACAGTCAGGGGATTTTTAAAAGTCTTTGACATAGGGCCAGTAACAATGAAATCAGGTGGGAGAAGGAAATTGGGGACAGTGATGTTGTTAAATTAAGTTGTGTGTGGGACTGATTTTGTGGGTATCATATAAAGGCAGCATTCTCTAGAGGGAAAAGTGAGGATTTGGGGAGAAGCCGTGAGCTGGAAGTTTGACAGTAGTGACTGGACAGGGTACCACGATTGTGGCTTTAGCGGGACTGACAACAGGTGCTTCATCAATTTTAATTTCTCTTCCTTTCTCTTCCCTAGTGCTGGTGATAACCAACAAAGAAGCATAAAACCAAATCATATAAGGAAAGTTCACAGACAGCTGAGTTTCCTTAAGATAGTGCTTCTTACACTTTGGGTGTCACCTCTCAGGAGGTCAGGGTAAGGTCCTGAAGGGAGCACAGACAGAATCCATATCATTTTCCTCCTGGAAGCAGAATTCTGGAATTATCTTTTTCTTATTTTATTTAGATGGGTGGTGCTTTTGGCCTATGTTCCTGCACTCAGCCCAAGTCTTGCTTGGATTTGGCATTCACTCCCTTGTTCACGTGTGACTATAAGCCTACACGCAGAACACCTAAGCACAACTACGTGCAGAGAGACCAGACGGCTGCAGTGCAGGGGGTCCTTCTCTCACCCATGGATGAATCCTCATTGGATGAGAAGGGCCACACACAGTGGCTAACTGCTCACACCTGGGGATCCCTTACTCTTTTGATCACCTCCCCAGGAAGTGGTGGCATGTAATAAAAGCAGCTTAATACAATTAAAATGTTCCCAGAATCTACAGATATTGTCTTCTCAGCCTTCTCTCTGATACAGATTATGAAGGACACATGTAAGTCTGTTGTACCTGAGGTAGATGAGGTAAGAGTCCTGTGTGAGGATGTGGGGAGTGCTGTTTTAAGAGGCCAGGTGCATCTCAATCTAAAATAAGCCAGGATGGCCTTGAATTAGGACTGAGATGGGACAAATGATGACTTCACAGTGGCCAAAAGGACTTTCCAAGTAAGAATAGAAGAGTGTGGTGCATGCTCACAAGAAACACCACAAGTCCTCTGCAATGCACCTGGGGACAAGGACCCACACCAGCCTGCATGGGTGTGCAGGACAGCCTGCAGACCCTCACCCCCGGGCAACAACGGAGAAGGGTGAGGCCTGGCTACGGCTCCCAGGGTCCCTGCTCTGGGTTCCACGACACCTGTGGGCAGTTTTGAGTCTGGTCAGGACTAATACAAAGTTAAATCCACAGTAATGGTAGCAGGATAATAGCTCAATGACAAAACAAACAAAAAACTTGTAAAGAGTGCAGGAAAATGGGCTCTTTTAAACATGACTGGTGTGTGTATAATTCAGTACAGTCTTTTTGAAGGTCAATTTGGTTAAAAAAAGATATTACAAGCCTTTACATTTTAGATACTCTTTGTCCATAATTCTACTTCTAGGAATTTTGTACTAAATCAATTATTATGAGTATGTACAAAACTTTAGATATAAGCATATTTATAATCACAAAAAAATGGAAACAACTGAAATGTCCAGCAATGAACTGTTAAATAAATCATGGTACATCTATACTATGGAACTGCTTTAAAAGCAGATATTCTAGCATATGTAATGACTTTTTGGCACCGTCGTCTGGCTGACTCAGCACCCATTCCCACACCCTTCTTCACTGCCTGTCTCTAAAATACTTGCTTTCCCAGCTTTCTTTAGAGTTAAGAGCCACCTTGAGACCATGAGGGAACATAACAGCCTAAGGGAGCTGGACCGTCCTTGATGACATCGTTGAGCGGTTCTACTAGCCTGGACCTCCTACTTCCAGACTGTCATGTGAGCAAAATACTCCATTGTTTGTTCAAGCCACTGTTAATAGGTTTGGCTATTACCCTGATTAAAAACACAATCCCAGCTGATAAAGACATGGAAAGACGTTTACAGTATATTAAGTGTAGGGGAGGAATACAGTCATGAGCTGCGTAACATGTCAACGGATTGCATATACTATGGTGGTCCCATAAGATTATAATACTGTATTTTTACTGTACCCTTTCTATGTTTAGATATGTTTAGATACACAAATGCTTATCATGTGTTACAACTCTCTACAGTATTCTGTATAGTTGCGTGCTGTACAGGTTAGTAACCTAGGAGCAATAGGCTGTACCACGTAGCTTAGGTATGCAGTAGGCTATGCCATCTAGGTTTAAGTTCACTCTATGATGTTCACACAATGATGCAATCACGTAACAATGAATTTCTCAGAATGTAACCCCATCATTAAGCGATATATGTCTGTAATATAATGTGAAGGCATAGAAAAATATGTGAGGGTACATTCTAAAATTATAATTGTAAGGCCGGGCGCTGTGGCTCACGCTTGTAATCCTAGCTCTTGGGAGGCCGAGGCAGGCGGATTGCTCAAGGTCAGGAGTTCAAAACCAGCCTGAGCAAGAGCGAGACCCCATCTCTACTATAAATAGAAAGAAATTAATTGGCCAACTGATATATATACATAAAATTAGCCGGGCATGGTGGCGCATGCCTGTAGTCCCAGCTACTCGGGAGGCTGAGGCAGAAGGATTGCTTGAGCCCAGGAGTTTGAGGTTGCTGTGAGCTAGGCTGACGCCACGGCACTCACTCTAGCCTGGACAACAAAGCGAGACTCTGTCTCAAAAAAAATAAATAAATAAAAAATAAAAAATAAAATTATAATTGTAGTTCTGTCTGATGGTAAGGGTCATAGGGGATTTTCATTTTCTTTCTTGGGTTTATCTGGATTTTCTAAATTTTCTACAATTAACATATATTATTTTTGTAATGAGAAAAAATTATACATGTACATATATGTGTATATATATTATATATATATTTTATATATATGTGTGTGTGTGTGTGTGTGTGTGTGTGTCTGTGTGTTTTTTTTTTTTTTTTTTTTGAGACAGAGTCTCGCTTTGTTGTCCAGGCTAGAGTGAGTGCCGTGGCGTCAGCCTAGCTCACAGCAACCTCAAACTCCTGGGCTCGAGAGATCCTTCTGCCTCAGCCTCCCGAGTAGCTGGGACTACAGGCATATGCCACCATGCCTGGCTAATTTTTTATATACATATTAGTTGGCCAATTAATTTCTTTCTATTTATAGTAGAGACGGGGTCTCGCTCTTGCTCAGGCTGGTTTTGAACTCCTGACCTTGAGCAATCCGCCCGCCTCGGCCTCCCAGAGAGCTAGGATTACAGGCGTGAGCCACCGCGCCCGGCCTCTGTGTGTATTTTTTTGCTCTGTTGCCCAGGCTGGAGTGTAGTGGTACAATCATCGCTCACTGCAAACTCAAACTCCTGGGCTCAAGTGATCCTCCCGCCTCAGTCTCCCAAATAGCTGGGACTACAGGCACATGCCACACGCCTGGCTAATTTTTCTTCATGTATTTTTAGAGACAATGTCTCACTGTCTTGCCCAGGCTGGTCTTAAACTCTTGGCCTCCAGTAATCCTCCTGCCTCTCAGCCTCCCAAAGTGCTGGGATTATAGGTGCAGGTCACTGCACTCAACAAAAATATATTTAAAAAAAATTAAACAGGGTAGAGAAGTAATGATAGAAAGTTTGTGGTTAGGCAGTGAGAAGTCCTTGACAACAGCTTTCAGAATAACCACTTCAAGTCTTCTGTTGCTTATTGTCCAGGCGATTCAAATCTCTATGCTAGTTCTCTCATTTGAAAAGGTCGCACTGGCTTCTAACCAGGGCCACTGAGGTCCCCCTCCACCATCAGGGTCCTTGCAGCAGGGATGGCCCGGGAGGCCTCAGGGGGTCAGAGCTCCTCCTAGTGCATCTCTTGCATCTCTGTCCCCTCTCATGTGGGCCTTGCTTCCCTTCTCCTCCTCCTCTCACTGCCTGCTCTGTCCTAAGCTGCTTGGCAGAATCAAATGAGATAACCTATCTGAAAGTACTTCATACATTATCAAGTGTAACAATTGGCAAGTTATTTTTCTTGTAACTCATCTCTTTTCCTCCCTATTCTTTTCCCTTTTGTTTTTTAAAATCTTTCACTCTTCTTCTTTCTCTTCTTCCCTTATTTCTCTTTCCACTTCCCTTCTTCTGCCTCAGCTGGCCACAACAGAACAAGGACGTACTGGGTCTCCATAGCCTTTTTCTGCTGTCAACTGTCACATGACCCTGCACTGAACTTAGCTGTCAACCGGCCTCTCTCCCTTGCTCAGCAATGAGCCCTCTGAGCAGGGAACATGTCTTTCAACCCCCAAGAATCTTTCATAACACCTGTCTCACAGTACTCATCTGGTGAAGGTTTGCTTGTTATTACTGGAATTTCTTTTATTGTTTTATCTGGAGAAGCTCAATACTGACACAAATATACACACTTATTTGTAAAATCAGTCATCCATATAATTAAGTGGAAATTTGTTCTTTGCATCTTAAAAATGAAGGTCTTATGAAATCATTTTTAAGAACCAATAACTGAGAAAGGTAAGTAGTTTGGAAAAAGCTAATTTTTTTCCATACTGCAGGTTTAAAATATTAAGAAATATATTTTCAGAATTGAAATGGAAACATTAATAATGGTAATGTGGAAACAAATATTTTACGGTAAGATAGTAGAACTAATTTGTATTTTAAATCTATATTATCCACTAAAATACTGAAAAAAATCTGCAAGAATCCATGAAATTCCACTTTAAAAGTGCACGTAGTTGGTCTCTAATCCTACCTTTGGTCCAAGCTGTCTTCAAGTCACTGACTTTTCTCATCCATCTTGTCCCTTCCATTTCTCATGGATATCCTTGTCTAGACTGTTGCTATTTTATGACTGGACAGCATTCCTGCCTCTAGTCTCTTCTCTCCATTTTTCTTGCCCCTCATTGCAAGACAAACTTTCCAAAAACACTGCTTTAATTACCCTCTCTACCCCAACCTCCAGTGGCTTTTTCTATCTACATAGATTCTATAGGATAAAAACCAAACTTCCTGGCCTGTGTTCATAATTTAATTCCACTTCCTTTCCCCCTCAACCTTTTTCCTGATATCTCCAACCCTCAACCCCTCAGTTTTAGTCCAATTGTTGCTGTCTCTCCTGCCCCATCCTAATATGAATATCTCCTGCATTGAATGGTACCCGAATACTCTCCTCCTTCTGAGGCCAAGCTTGTGTTCCTCCATTTCTGTGACCACTAGCTGACCAAATTGGGATCCCAAATTGCTGTGACAGGCAAATGGGAAGAGGCTGAACCACACAAAAGAAATACATGGAAGATTCTGCATTTGGATCTTTAAAAATAATCAATGGAAGGAAGATATCTGGCAAAGATACAAGGATGTGCAACACTGTGCAAAATACACAAAGATTTAAATTGACAGGAGCTAAGTGTGAGCTGCCACTGTGATGGGACTGACAAAAGGCCACACTACTGGAGGCTGGGGAAGAGGGCTGCACTGAGCCCCCATGATGTGCCTGGCCCTACTGTGCACTGTATTTATCTCACCTGAACCTCTCCACATTGTGAGGCGTGGATGTGCTGAAGGTATCATTAGCCTCACTTTACAGGCTCCATATCTACTCTTGGCAGACTACCATTAAGTAACCCTGACTCCAATCCTTCCTACTGCCTTCCAGCACTGTCCCCATGACTGGCACCTTCCTACTCCATGTTCTATCCCTGAGGAGCCACACAAAGCTGAGTCACACCTCAGGGCTTTTGGTTCACACTTTTCTTTTGTCTGAAATGCCTTCCCTTCCTTGCTCACCTACTCTCAAGGCTCATCTCAAGTATCAGCTTCCCTGGAAAGTTTTCCCTGAGGTTAGCCTTCTGGGTGCTTCTGCAATACTGTATGGGCATACTTCCAACACAGACAGTACTCACCATGCCTATTTCTTCCACTTCACTAGGAGTTCTTAAAGGCTGCTATTGAGTTTTTGCATCCCTAGTGTCTAGCATGGTATGCCCTCAGATATTAGCAAAACTGAACTAAGGATCAGAAAGTTTAAGTAACTTGCCCAAGGTAACACAGCTAGTAAATACAGAACTGGTTTGAAACCAGATGTCTGATTATAAAGTCCTTTTAGAACGAGGAAGGTGATAACATTGCTCCCTTTTGGGCTTGCCAGACCACACCTATAATTCTGAATTCAGTTCTGGGCAGCAAACTTCTAGAATGACATCCTCAAGCAGGAGCATGTTTAGAGGAGAGTGACCATGACAGTGAAAAGAGTGAACATACTCCAACCCAGGCCACGAGAGAATCTGCTAGAGAAACTCAGGGATTAGCTTAGGGAAGAAAAACTCAAACATGAGAACTGCCTTTAATTACTTAAGGGCTACCAGGGGAAGAGTAAGGATTAGACTTACTTTCTGTGACCATAAGGGGTAAAACTTATGACCACAGTGTTGAATATAGAGAAAAATAGATGTTGACCCACTGAAGGAAAACTTTTCCAGCAGAGCTGGTTAATGGCAGCATGGCTACCCCAGCAAGGGGTAAGGTCACACTTTGGCAAGTTTGCAAGCTGCTGACACCCTGTGGGCATGTCCTAGTAGGCTCAAGTACTAAACTGAAGGCTGGACCAGGTGAGATTTTTTTCTTAGGTGACCTCTTAAGGTCCCTTCCAATAGATGTTACAATTCTATGATTCTGTCCTTTGATCTCTCTAGGCTTTGTCAGTCCCTTATTCTTCTCCAGTGAATTTTATGAGTTTACATAACTCATTTGGTGATTAAGTATATATGTATTCTGCCACACAGCATTTATGTTACCTATCTATTCTTTCTACTTCTGCCATTTAATTTTTTTTCTAACATCTTTCCAAACAATAAGTATCTTCAGATAACAGAAAACTCCTGTCTTCTAATGTGTCATCTATTTATTATAGTTGCCCAAAGACCCCAGAGGCAAGAGCTCTTCCTTCTGGACTCATCAGGTTCTAAGAAGACCAAACACATTGGTAAAGAGGGAACAGAGGTGATGGGCAGGCATGAATGGGCCAACAGGCTAGATGTGACACTCCCCTCTGCTGTCTTTCCACTGTTTTCTGTGGCCTGAATATAAGGGGTCCTCAGAGAAGGATTAGTGTTTCCTGGGGAGCTTTTTCAATACATGCACCACACATAGCCCCCTCTAGAAAGAGACTCAGGTATTTGAAAAAGCTCCTATCTGGATTTGCCTTCCAACCTTTTTGAGAACTGCTCTTCCTCCTTACTTCATGATTAAGGAAAAGCCTGCCCTTCCTTCTTCATGTATTTTTTAAATTATAAATTTAGATCAGCATAAACTCATAGGCCATTATTTTATTCAAAGGGTTATAGTACATTACTATCATTTGTTTTGATGCTCAAATTGTCCCAGTACTGGCCAGTGGGAGCCCCTTTCCAACTGGCTCCTGTGTCTTTTTGACACATCCCATCATTCTTTGAGAAATTCCTCATTTTCTGGCACAAAATTTTGTTCCAGGCTCAACTTGTATCTTCCCTGCCCCAGTTTTGGAACAAGCCATTTCTCTAAGGATTCCTAGTATTTTTACGGGAGAGTGGAAACCACTTTTGAAGACTTAAACATCATATTAATATTTAGGATAAAAGAAGACTGCAGCAAAGCCAGGCAAGAACAAGAAAGAGCCCCCTCTGTGATTATGACTATTAAGCAGGAGTTGGCAAATTATAAGCTAGAGAGCCCCTTTTTTGGTTAAAAACAGTTTTATTGGAACACAGCCACCTCTTCATTTACCTACTGTCTATAGCTATTTTCATATTACAACAGCAGAGTTGAGTAGTTCTGACTCGAGACCATATGGCCTGCAAAGCATAAAATATTTACTGTCTGGCCCTTACAGAAAATATCTGCCAATCCCTGCTAATAACTAACCACATATTATAGACAAGATTGCCTGTCATAAGAAATAATGTGATTTGGAGATATTGTAAATAAAACTAGATGTCCTAGGGCAGCACCTACTTAAATTTCATCAAGGTAGAATAAGCTACAAACCTGGAAAACTGTAACATATCATGATGTAGAATCTGGTTGTAATGGCAATTATAAATGGGATTGTTATTACTGAATCTAGAAAAAAACAATGCCTTGAAAGTAAAGTAATTGGGGCCAGCTGTGGTGGCTCATGCCTGTAATCCTAGCACTCTGGGAGGCCAAGGAGGGAGGATTGTTTGAGCTAAGGAGTTTGAGACCAGCCTGAGCAAGAGTGAGATCGTGTCTCTACTGAAATTAGCTGGACAACTAAAAATATATAGAAAAAAATTAGCTGGGCATGGTGGTGCATGCCTATCATCCCAGCTACTTGGGAGGCTGAGGCAGCAGGATTGCTTGAGCCCAGGAGTTTGAGGTTGCTGTGAGCTAGGCTGATGCCACGGCACTCACTCTATCCTGGGCAACAGAGTGAGACTCTGTCTGAAAAAAAAGAAAAGAAAGTAAAGTAATTGGTATTCTGATCACTAGGATGGACAATGTCTCCTTTAGTACAGAGAGAAGAATTAATCAAGCATGACTATGGCATGGATGACACTTCATTTCTTAACGTCTTCCAACTCTATTTTCTCTGACTTCATTCTCACAAACCAAGCTCTGATTACCTTTCTGATTTTCAAGGCACCATGATACAGAGAAGAAGTATATCCCTTGCTGTATTAAATTTACTTTCTAGTACAAATGTGCTTGAGCAAATAAATATGTCAGTTTTCTCAGGGCTCAGTGACCTTAAGAAGAGCTGATCATTAAATTATCAGATCAAAAGACCTTAGAGCTGTGGGCCCCAACCCTTGGGCCACAGACTGTTACTGATCTGTGGCCTGTTAGGAACTGTGCCACATGGCAGGAGGTGAGCAAAGCTTCATCTGTATTTACAGCCTCTCCCCTTCACTCATATCAGTGCATAAGCTCTGCCTCCTGTCAGATTAGCAGCGGCATTAGATTCTCATAGGAGCTCAAACCCTACTGTAAACTGTGCATGCGAGCAACCCAGGTTGTGCGCTCCTTATGAGAATCTAATACCTGATGATTTGAGGTGGAGCTGAAGTAGTGATGCTAGTGCTGGGGAGTGGCTGCAAATACAGATCATCATTAGCAGAGCAGTGTGACTGCACAGTAAATGTAATGTGCTTAAATTATCCCCAAATCATTCCCACCCAACCTGGTCTGTGGAAAAACTGTCTTCCATGAAACCTGTTCCTGGTGCCAAAAAGGTTGGGGACTGCTGGCTTAGAGGCTAGATGCTAAACTGTGTCAATTTCCTTAGAACATGGCACACAATAAAACAGTCAAGACAGACTGTCATCACATTTCTTTCAAAGTAGGCAGATGAAAAAGTATGCTGAAATGTTGGACAGCTCCCACCAATAATTAGGGATCAAGCCAAATCCTAGGGTATCCTGGAAGCATTCTTTGATGTCAATGTTCTCAGTCTCTGTCCTGTGGGAGAAACCCATCCTAGGATTTCCCAGGAAAGCATGGTTCTCAAGACATCCATTATGAGTCCTGGCTTTCCTTGCCAGATATGAACTTTTGGACCTGATCAACGGTCATGGTCAAGCAGTGCCTATGGTAGTAGGATAAAGGACCAGAACTGCCCTATTTCCTAAATCCAGCAAATATCAGAGTTAATAGGGCTGAGAAGGGGGCAAAGAGCTCCTCAGCTGGTCTTCATGAGATCTGGTAGTCTCATGGATCAGTAAGTCACAGCCACACCAAGAGCTCGATTACCACCTGAAGTGTCCAGAGCTGTCAGGCAGGAGCTACATATCCTTCTGATCCCCCCAGTACTTTCCTTCAAGAGGAAGCTTTTCTGTCCCTGGAACAACTTATTTCTGTGACCTGGAGAAGGACTTATTCTCTGAGTAGAGAAATTGGTGCAATATGGTGGGGGACTCTTTGCAGTTTTGATACCAAACAGCTTGAAATTACTGATAGAAGAGATCCTCAGAAAGAGCTGAGAAAGGAGCTATAACAAATCAGTTTCTGGTTTTATTTTAATAATATCCTAACATTTTAACTTGTCAGGGTCTTCCAGTTCAAATGGAAGCTGTACAATCCCTATGGCTAAATTGAAGCTAAGGAAAGTGGCAGAATATAAAAAGGGCATGAAAGTATAACATATGCAAAAGAAAATAAAATAGAACCCTAGATTTCTGAGGAGAGAAGCAATACATTATGGAATCAACACTCCTTGCAGGGAATGGGAGAGTTTGAAGTTATCTCCCGCTTCTGGCCTACATAGTATTGACAAAAGGATACCAATGAGTAAGATGCAGTTGATCCTTATTTGATTCTAGTTTTCTGGGACTTATACTACATTTCCATTATTAAAGCAGGGTATATTAAAACTATAACATGAATTCAGGGGCAGGGATGAAGCAGTGCGTCATATTTGTCATTTTAAAATTCCAAACCCTGACCATCGTAGGTGCTTAATGTTTGTTGACTGATCTATCTTTTCCATCCCTCAAACATGCATCCTAAACACCTAGAACAGGTCAATATTTTAAAACATTACCTGGAGAAGGAATGCTATGTTTCTCCTAAGATATGACTTTAAAATCACATTTTTTGTCAAAATATATTGCTTTAGCTTTTGGATATAAATATAATAAATATGAACATATCTCATTTATTCTTTTCCCTTAGTTATAGGAGTAATAATAGCTTTGATTTCCTAAAATCATGAGATTAAAAATTAATATAGTGGGTTTTTTTTTTTTTTGAGACAGAGTCTCGCTTTGTTGTCCAGGCTAGAGTGAGTACCGTGGCATCAGCCTAGCTCACAGCAACCTCAAACTCCTGGGCTCAAGCAATCCTACAGCCTCAGCCTCCTGAGTAGCTGGGACTACAGGCATGCACCACCATGCCCGGCTAATTTTTTCTATATATATTTTTAGTTGGCCAATTAATTTCTTTCTATTTATAGTAGAGACGGGGTCTCACTTTTGCTCAGGCTGGTTTCAAACGCCTGACCTCGAGCGATCCACATGCCTTGGCATCCCAAGAGATTAAAATTTATATACATCCAATTTCTCCTAGGAATTTGGCACAGAAGATATGTGTGGAGGGTGGTGTGGTGGTGGTGGTGAAGAACAGGGAATAGAATTTCACATGTGTATTCTAAGGAGATCAAGGTGCAAAGTCTAGTGTGATTTATGACAGTTATTTCAATAAGGAAAGGAGAGGAGGAATGCCCAATACTTTTGGTGGAATGGAGAGAGAGAGCACAGGCAGTTGTTACCTATTTACATCTGGGATGCTTCAGAATTTGAGAGTCTGATCTATAAATGTTAAGACTGCAAGTGGATGCCTAGAAGTTGCCAGGGCCTTCCAGAGAGATCATTTAGGCAATCTCATGACTGCAGAAGGGATGATGGAGAGATACTAATGAAAACTGTGAAAATAAACCTATTTAATTTAAGTGAGGCTCTATAAAGTAAACGGAGAATTTTATTCTGTTTTGAAAAAGAGTAGGGATTACTTTGGAGCAGGTAGACATGGGTCATAAAACTGGAGTCGTGACTTTAAAAAAAAGTAAGTGGCAGTGACCCACAGATGGTTTGTAGTCATTGCCACCCCCAACGTCCTCTTTTCCCTACTACCACCTTCAAACTCTTTCTTTTTGTGGTGGAGGCTATAGGCAGTATTGTTCTAACCACTACTATCACTTTCTGCTATTGTTCTTCTACTAGGACTAGACATGCCGAACAACCACAGGCGGTGCCTCAGTGGCAGACTTGACCATCCCTGGGGTTGATCAACCAATCCTCTCCAGAATCTGCTTGAGATCTCTTAAATTGAGCAAGTATGTGGTGTGCACCCACTCAGTGTCAGGGACAGTGTTGGGCGCTGGTGACAGGCAAATGAATAGCACAAGGCCCTTGCCTTTAAGGAGCTCACAGCTGACCAGTGGAGGGAGACACAGGCAAAGATAACATGATATACAAGAGCTATAACAGCAATCCATGCTTCCCTGCTAATTATTTAAGCAATTACTCTTTTGGTAATTACTCTAATTGTTATTAAATTTTAAAAATTATAAAAGTAGTATGCAAATTCATATAATACAGATGTGTACAAAATAAAAAAGTAGTTTTCTGTTACCAGGTATGTGTATACTTTAGACCTTTTTATATACATATTCAAACTATATACACACATTTCTACAGTTGTCCAAAAAAATAGAATACAAATATAAATATTCTGTGACTATTTATTTTTCCTCTAAAAATATCATGGTTACTTTTCCATATGGAGTATAGAGATTTGCCTCATTCTCTTTGATGGTTGCATGGTATTCTTGTGTATCTGGGAATAATTCATTCCTCTGCAAAGGTTAAAGATTTGGGCAAGAGGTTATGTACAATATGGCCTTGAAGGAGGAGTGGTAGTTCATTTAGTAGAAGAAAACCTGAGAGAGAATGCTTGATGCATGCATGGGAGGGACTAAGTGGGGAAGGTGGCTCAGGGAGCAGGACAGCATGATCATGTGAGAGAGGCATGGTAACATGCAGCCTCTTTGGGAACCACCAGTAGTCCAGTGAGGCCATGCTGTTCCTCAAACTTTGTTGTGTGTCAGAATCACCTTGGAAATTTCTTAAAACCTGCATCCCTTAACTCAAGATTCTGATTTAGTAGGTTGGTGACCCCAAAGTCTTTTTTTTTTTTTTTTTTCTCTCTTGTTGACCAGGCTAGAGTGAGTGCCGTGGCGTCAGCCTAGCTCATAGCAACCTCAAACTCCTGGGCTCAAGCAATCCTTCTGCCTCAGCCTCCCGAGTAGCTGGGACTACAGGCATGTGCCACCATGCCTGGCTAATTTTATATATATATTAGTTGGCCAATTAATTTCTTTCTATTTATAGTAGAGACGGGGTCTTGCTCTTGCTCAGGCTGGTTTCGAACTCCTGACCTCGAGCAATCCGCCCGCCTTAGCCTCCCAGAGTGCTAGGATTACAGGCGTGAGCCACCGCGCCCGGCTGACCCCAAAGTCTTTGCTCTTAACCATGACACTAGGCTGCCTCTCCTGATATGATAGTGTGTATTCACACCATTTTTCATAAGACAATCAAGGTAAATGAAGGTCTAGAGAGTCCCCATGGCAGCAGAGAAAAACATCTTGGTATCCTTACATTTTGCTGTCATTTAGCCATCTCAGTTTTAGTCTTCTACCACCCTCTCCTACACCAA